ACATCTGACTACTCTCAAACAACAGCTGTTTACAACATAATATGAGAATCAGTACAGAAAAAACAGAAGTTATGAAGATCAGCAGAACACACAGGCCACTGAATATAAATGTTGGAAGTGCCAAAATCAAGCAAACCAAAGAGTTCAAATACTTGGGCAGTATATTTACAGAGGATGGAAGAAATGGACAGAGAGATAGAAACAAGAATACAGAAAGCAAATGCTGTCACATACCAACTATCACCTCTGCTTAAACATCCAGATATAACCATGAAGACCAAAAGACAATTGATAAACACCATCTTCATTCCAACACTCTGCTACCAGTGCCAGACATGGACAATCAACAAGACCCATGAAAGAAAAATAGAAGTCTGTGAAATGAAATGTCTAAGAAAAGCAGCGAATAAGACCAGACTAGACAGGATAAAGAATATAGACATTAGAAACACTGTCAAAACTACACCATGTTTAGACTACATAGAACATCAAAGAATGAAATGGTTTGGACATCTAACCAGGATGAAAAATGATCAAATAACATCACAAATTTTCAACCAAAGAAGCTCAGGATATAAGGCAAGAGGAAGACCAAGGAAACTGTGGATTGACGGGGTCTCCGAAACCTGCCAAAAGCATGGCCTCAGAACATCAGATGCTGCCCGCCTTGCTTATGACAGGAACTTGCATCTCCCCACAACGCTTAGCGGCATACGTGGAAGGAAAAAGTAAAGTAAAGTAAAGAGATTGGTATACCTGTTCTGATTGTGCTCTGCTGTGTTGAAAGCTCTTATCTTTGACAACAAAATACGAAGAATGTTCAGCAGGAGGATGAAATTTATCTGTAAAAGAAATGTATTACACATGCATCAAAATGTTTACAGCATGACGATGGAGGTGATGGCAGTGACGCAAGCGTTCGCCTGTATCGAAACACAAATCTACACCCGCGTATGTATGCTCAGTGATAAAATGAGTATGATCCGGAGGGTTCAGGCATGTTTGGTTCGAAGACAATGGCTTGAATTATTACAGAAGTCCACTGTGCATGGAGTCACCTTTGTTTTTGTTCCGGGGCGTCGATGGAAATGAAAGAGCTGTTAGGCTGGCTAGATCCGCGATCACTACCGACGGCCAGCCTATGGATCATGCTAATATTATTAATGCCCTCGGAGAAATGGGAAGGATAGAGGACTTTGGGGTCAGTGAATCCACATCATTTGCCAAAATGGCAGAATTGGGAATTAAGATCGGCATAGCAAAAAACGAGACGAACACTAGACACACCAGAAGACTTGTTAATCATCACAGAACCCTCATCATGAGGGGAGGATCTGAGCACCTATGGACATGTCCGGAGTGCAATGATGATAACCCAACTAACTAACTAAAATAAATGTCTGCTTCTCAGTGTAGCTGTTATGGCACTTGATTGTCAATCAGTTCCTTAGTGTTGAGTTATATCCGCTGGGCTGAGACGTTTTCCAGCGATTTTCTTAGGTCTATTCTCAATGTGTTCACCTTTACCTGGCTGGGTAGTTTGTGTTTCTCAGTTACCGTAAGATCATTGCCGGGGGTATCGTAGCTCTCCCAAGCCGGACAGATAAAAGGGTAGAAAACCGGCAAAGAGGGACACTCTGGTCATCTAGGTGGGAAAGCGGGAGGGGGGAATTTTAATATTGGTTCCACACCCCTCCCACTTTCCACACATCCCCTTTTTTTATATAAAACTTGTTTCGTCTCGAAAGTTATTTAAGTTTAAAAATCGGATTGACTGACAGGGACAACGAGCTTGGTCCTACAAACACTTGTATTAAACAACTGGGAAAAGACAGCCAGTGAAAGAGATGAATGAAGGCGGGGGGATGATTTCTTTAACATGAACCTAAGTGGCTCAGAATGGTGGCGAAGAAAAAGAAGAAGAATGAGAAGAAGAAGAAGAAGACGAAGAAGAAGAAGAAGAAGAAGAAGAAGAAGAAGAAGAAGAAGAAGAAGAAGAAGAAGAAGAAGAAGAAGAAGAAGAAGAAGAAGAAGAAGAAGAAGAAGAAGAAGAAGAAGAAGAAGAAGAAGAAGAAGAAGAAGACAAAGAAGAAAGGCTGAGATAAAGGCTGCTGAACATTCTTTCAAAAAGTACCAGGGCCTAATAAAATTTTTTACACAGGGTGATTCCATATCTGCTTGGACACAAAATTTTGAATGTATGGTTAATCACTGTGAGGTTCCTTTTAAAGAGTGGTCACTCATTTACCGAAAACATCTTAGGGGGGGGGGGGAACCTTTGAAATTACTAGAGACAATCCCTACTGAAAAACTTGAAGATTATTACTTTGTCAGGGATAGAATTCTCAAACATTTCTCCCTAGATGAGGAATCTTACAGAAATGCCTTTAAAAATTTGATTCCGAAAGCTGAACAGACATTTCTGGATTACATGTCTGAGGTGGTATCCACTTTCGACAAATGGGTAACATCGGCGAAAGTGAACAAATCATACGATTTGTTAAAAGATCTTTTTATAAGAGACAAGGTATTATCAAGTGTCCCGAGCAGCATGATGACCTTTTTGATAGAACAGAAACCTTCAACAGTGAAACAGAGGGAAGATGCAGGTGCTGCATACTGGAATGCACACAGAAACATTTTTAGTTTCAACAGTGGTGCAGATGTAAGTTACGGAGCTGCAGTGCAACCTGTATACAGGAAAAAGCAATATACTCACGAGAAGAAAGGAGAATACTCGAGAGAGTACAAGAGTTACAGACCTCTGAGAGATCGAGGACCAATAGTAACATGTCTGTACTGTAAGAGAGATCATGGTCAACGACAGTGGTGCGAAATGAATCCAAAGTATGAAGATCATTTTCGTAAGAGAGAGAAAGCAATGCAGGAGAAAAGTTCAGTAAACTACTCACTCCAATGTCGACTATGCGACTCGATTGATCATTTATAAAAAGACTGTAAGATGAGAAGAAGACAGCATCAGAGTGCGGCTGCAGAAATATCTGACAGTGGCAGTGATTCTGGAAGTAGGTTCTCTGATGGGAGTATGGCAGATGTACCTACAGCAAATTCAGCTGAGCTTGTGAATTTCTCTGACACAGGATGCCAGACCTACAAAGAGTTTAATGAAGACGGTAATCTGACCTGTGGTCACAGTGTGATAGGGGATGCAAATGCTGTAACCAGTTTCGATGGCCAGTTGAAGTTTACGAGAGGGGTAGTTAATGGAAAAGTAGTGACAATTTTGCGGGATTCTGGGTCGACAGTGTTGGGAATAAGAAAAAGTCTAGTGAATGCGTGTGATTTGACGGGTGAACATATTGTGTGTCGAACCTTTTCAGGGAAGAAAGAAAAGTATGATTTGGCATGGGCCAATCTAAAATCAGCTCACTGCACAGGTAGAACAAAATTTGCAGTGCTAGCAGACCCTGTTGCTGATATTATCCCTGGCAATTGTAAAAATGTAAAGGATGTCTCTGAAAGTGAGATAATCGAGTGGCAGAGGGACAACATAACTTGCAATGTTGTAACTGGACAGCAGTCGGTGAGAGAGAGAGAGAGAGAGTGATGTGAATGAAAGTGTATGTATGGAAAATATTTTAACTGTCAACACATCAACTCAAACAAACCTCTCAGAGATATCCTACACAAATAAACATGAACGTTTTACTGATAATGTTCATTCTAAAGAAGTGTTCATACTCTTGTCTAAACCAACTTACAAATTAGTGGTTGAGGAGTTCCATAATAGAACTGTCATTCCTGACTCTACTGTTGTTGATACAAAAGATATTCTCCTTGCTGTACAACAAGACTCACGTTCAAACAAACATTTCTTTACACCTAACATTAACCAACAAATTTCAGAAACATCAACACAGAAAGCTGAAATTGGTAATGTACTTTCTGATGTGCCAGGCAGATGTACACACATTTACCAGCATTTACTGCTAATAATCAACAAACCGGTCAAAATAAAACATACTTTATTATTTCTGATATTGCAATGTATACTGTTGACATGTGTATGTTTATTTATGATGCGTCATAGATTACCTACTAGTCAAGGATCCCAACATTTTGGATTTACAGAAAAACTATCAAAAGTCCAAATTTATCTTGAGGATCTTCCAAAAACTTTGAATTTTGAAAACCCCACCACCAATAAGGAGATCTGAAGCTTACTCGACCTCATCAATCATTACAACCAATTTACCCCGAATATTATCAAAGAAACTGTAGTTTTCACTAAACTATTAAAAAGGGAGCATTCCAGTACAATTGAGTGGAACCGAGAACTAGACCAGACTTTCACCAAAATCAATACTCCAATCCCCCTATGTTAAATTTTTCTAATATCATATTAACCTTTGTTCTCAGATATCATACCAGTGGTACGGCAGTTGCGGTATGTCTGATGCAGTGTGATGGCGAGATGTTACACCGAAACTACTACGTGAGCAGTAAGTTGTCTCCAGCCCAGGTACACTATGTTACGGCGGAACAGCAGTGTCTTGTGAGGATTGTTAGTGTAACAAGACTCAAACTTGGACAGACCTTTTTGTCCTACAAACAGACAACCAGCCATTGCTCGTCATTACGTCTGGTGCCCCAATGAACAATCGAATCGCCAGATGGGCACTGCTACTGCAAGATTTCCTATTCACAATCACACACATCAAGGGCACCAGCAACAACCTGGCTGACTTATTAAGCCGGCTGTAAAACTATTGATTGCTTAGTTGTATCCTGAAACTAACAGTCTGGTAACTCCAGAAATTTACAGACTATGTGAAAAGACATTGTCTTCATGTATTCATGCCTTCTTGAAAATGCAGATGACTATGAATTGTTTCAAAACTGAATTCTACAACAACTTTCATAGATCCAATTGAACAACAGTTAATGACAAGTAGCAGTGTATACTAGTACTGTTCTAGCCTAAAACCAGTGAACTGAACAATCATAAAAGATAACTCTACACAAACATAGAGGTGATGATCATTCTAAGGACTTCAGCAGAAAGGAAAATGTGAAGTATGAAAGAAGAGTGTAATTGGAATAAAAGGGAATAAATGTATAAAATATAAGTCTGTGTTGTGATTGTCATATTATAAGTTAATCCTTTTATGTTCTTCATAATATGTTCTTTATATTATGTTAAATAGATATGTGTTATAGAGATATAAAACTATATGTTGTATGGATTATATATGTTTTATATGTTCTGTATGTGCTATATGTTTTTTATGTTTGTTTCATATATATTATTTGGTTTTGAATTGATATATTGTATTTTTCTTATTTATTTGGATTTGTAACTATTGTGTTGATATTTATGAAGGGTAATGTTTGTGTATTTTTCATATTTATTTTGATTTGTAACTATTGTGTTGGTATTTATGAAGGGTAATTTATTTGCATTTTCTTATTCATTTTGATTTGTAACTATTGTGTTGGTATTTATGAAGAGTAATTTATTTGTGTATTTTGCTTAATTATTTTGATTTGTAAGTATTGTGTTGGTATTTATAGAGGGTAATTTATCTGTGTATTTTTCTTATTTATTTTGATTTGTAACTATTGAGATGGTATTTATGAAAGGGAAATAATTTTGAGTTAGAAAATTATTTTATGCATATTTTGCTTATTTATTTCGATTTGTAATTTTTATTGTTTTGTTAAAATGAATATAGTGTAATGATTTTCGTTTGTGAAAATGTATATGTATTTTGCTTATTTATTTTCAGTGTGTAATTATTTTTGCTACAATCCATGTGGATGTTACAAATATATTTTCATTTCTTTTCTTTGCTAAAGATTTCTGCTAGAATACAAAAGTAATGTTAATTGTTACATTTACAACTATTTTTGGTATAGAATTCTCGAATTGCAATAATAATATTCTTCAGTTTTTGAAACTTAATCTGAAATCCATTACTTGTATAAAAAGTTTCAATGAGTTTAATAGTAACTGAGTGTTTTATGTGCAGCAAATGTAAATGTTAAAGTATATGTTGGACAATACTGCATTATATGTAAATGGTTTTGTAAACTAGTAGACTTTAAAATTATGGACAATTTAGTTTAGCAGTGACAATGAAATTATTTTAATTTTTTTTTTCGAATTGTTTATTTTGTTTTCTAAGATAGATAGATAATTGATAGTTGAAATGAAAATTAAAATTGTACTTTTACTAGGGCACTCACATAGAGAGTTAATGATGTTGTAACTAATATTGCATATATGGAGACTACATTTGAGGAGTAGCACTATCCTTGGAGGATGGGAGTGTGTCCAACTGGCCACAGATTTGTCTACTGCCTATTTTGCACTGGGCGTCATATGGGGTGATTAGTGTCTTGGCAGGTACTGCGGATTTGCGGACACATTATACGACTGTAGGTCGGGGAGTCAGGTCATGATTCCTTTTCACAACCATGGACAACTCTTGTGGAGAGAGTCCATGACGCCCACTGTTATTAATCACGGTGTCGTTGGTTAAACGGCTTGGGAGTGTATACAGTGGCGTCTTACTTGCACAGTAAGTGAAGCAAAGTGTAATTGGGTCCCGGACGATTTGAGTGTCCACCCAAATTATTATTTATATCATTACACATATGATTTGAAGGTGTAATGAGTAGTGACGTATTTGTGTCAAGGGCTGATACCATTTCTACCCATTAGGGAGGGGCTTACCTATTGTATGTATATACCCATTAAATATGTGCCAGATAGTTTGTCCTTAGGTGATTGACCCAAAAGTACATGACTTATTTTTTTTTAGGTAACTGTTGACGATAGAATTTAAAAAGATGACTGTACATGATGGCAGGCCATGCTTTGCTGATACTTGACTTTGTCAGGAAGTATCAGTTCAGAGGAAGGGTGAATGTCACAACCCTGTGAGAACAGTCAGTGGGGGAATGGCTTATTGAGGTGACACCCCAGGGTTGACACAAAGGTCAGGGCCGTGACTGGTCAAGTCTGTTCTGTTATTGCACGGTGAAACCAGCGCTCAGGATAAAGCGCTTGGCCACGACAAGAAAGAGTGAACTTTGTTGTAGACAAGTCCGCAACACGATTACCCCTTTTGGGACTGAGCTGGTGAACGGGGTCAAGAGAACACAGGACATTCGGTGTGCGACGGTCAGACGAAGCAGACGTGTTAGCGAGACAGTGATAGTATATTAGAGTTAGGATATTTCTGTTAGTGACTGCATAGATTATGTACAGTGTTCTGTTAGAATAGGATAGTTTTTGTGTTGTGTATTTAACTGGTACAAGGTATTATGTTGTGCCATAAGAGGTAAATAGGTTCCAGTTACTTCTGACCAGTTAATTCGTTTAGGTACGTGTTCTGTGAGAGTATGTCTAACCTTGGCACTTTGACCCTGCACTAGACAGAGGTGGTGACGTCTGGTAGGTCAGCGTGGCGATAGAAAAGAGCGTATCTCGCCGTGCTGTGGTTTGTACACCAGGAGATTGCCTGTAGAACGTACTGGGGAGCGAGGCGACTGTAAAGCCCGTTCGGCCAGAGGGTCCAGGCAATAGGTGGCTACACAGCGGGAAGTCAACTGTCTATTGTATTACCTGTACTTGCACTAAAGATTGTCGTGTGTGCTCTGTGTGCGTTCGGGTTCAGTGTGTGTCAAAGGTTAGTTTGTCATAGGCCCAGTTACGAGCCACGGACCAGCAAGGTCACCCAGAGGTCTGTGACAACACTTTAATTTTATTTAGTAAAAATGTAACTCCACATTAATAGTTAACATTCATGTAAGTATCCTGTAGATACTTGGATATGAGACTGATTTTTATCTGCGAGAATATTTTGATAGCTATTGTGTAGATCGATTTTACTTGCAAGCATATTTTCCTAAAATAATGATGATATTGACAGTTATCTCTGAGTTTTTTTTTGGGGTAAAGTTTGCTATAAATTGTTCAGTGTCACAGCTCATGTTGGTTATAGATGTATGCTGAGTCCAGTAACACACGGGTATTATCATTCAAGGTACGCGACATTTTTTGCATGGCAATGGGATCTTTCCGTACAAGTATAAAAAGTTTTCAACTTTATAGTCTGTTTTACAGACGAGAAACAGATACGATCCACCCGTCTACCCCACTTTAGAATCCTAGAGCATTGAAATGAACGTCCACTCCACTAAGATTAGGACGGGGAAAACCGCGCGCGCGCACACACACACACACACACACACACACATACCCACACACACGCGTAGAATCCGGCATTGACTGAATATTTGACAGAATTGGAAATCTGATCTAAATCCTGGTCATGCCACATAGCTGGCGCACTCTAACTACAGTTTCCTTGTGTAGAATCTGCAGCGAAGTGTGCGCAGTGAATACGATCCTGTTACAAACCAGTAACTTCTCTTTCTGACATCGTCTGCGTATTTCCCAATTAGATTGACCAGATGTTACATATCTAGTATATTCTCTGCAGTAAAATATTTCTTTTTAAATCTGTTATTGCCTAAACATATTTTCCTAGTCAAATTACCCGAAGTGCCACATACTAATGTCAGTCACACCCGAAGATAACAATATTGTCACAACATCGTCCTCTGTCTGTGGTAGTCAATGTTAACGTAATCATCATCACAAACCAACATTAACATCACTGTCACCATAATAATTGTTACAGTTACATTTTTAAATAAAAGTATGTCAAAACGTCCCATGCCCTGTACCTACCCCCAGTGAGACAACCACAGGAGTGCTCAGGATCCACATAGTCCATGTTGGGTAGAACCAGCACCTGCAGAAATCAGTGAGCGCATCAACTGACAGGAGACATGTGTTTAAAGTCAGAAAGATCGACACAGTTGACAGGGGTCTATAAAATATGATTTATTAGTTCTCCAATCAACAGCTGTTCCTCTACGAGAGCGCAGCGTAAAAAAAAAAAAAACTGTTGCTTTAGGCACGACCCTTGTGTCATACAAAACAACTGCACGAGCAAAGAAGTCCACAATTGAACCCACAAGTTTCAGAGAATGGGACAAGCGACTAAAGCCCTTGATCAGAGAGACCTATGACGTCTCTTCAATAGGAAAACAAATGCAATATCGATCAAGTTTTCACTGCTTATCACAGCAGTCGCAGTTTTGTCATGTTTGTCGGTTAGTAATGTCAAAGTTAACATTCCGAATCACACATTTGATATACAATGTAAATAAAAACAGTACACAACTGACACAATCATAGATTGATATGCATTTTACAATACCTGAATGTATCGATGATACACACAAAAACGTCCTGCTCGATTACGGACAGAATTAACATGGTGTGTTGTTTTCTTTGACCCTATTTATGTGTGGTTTCTATGTTTTATTAGTGTTCTTTTCTTTTATTTCACCCCATCTCGGGGACTCCCTATCTGGTAGTGAATTTTCGGGACAGTCTATTAGGGGTGTTAGGGTGTGAAACGAATACAAACTAACACCTACCCTAACTGCCTTATTAATACTAGACTTTCACAGGAATACAAACTAACACCTACCCTAACTGCCTTATTAATACTAGACTTTCACAGGAATACCCTACGAAATCATGGAGCCCCGAGATAGGGGCATACGCCTTTATTCTGTCTTGGTGTGGCTTTCATATAGTTATATTGTGCATCTCCTGATCCCATCTATGTGTAGTTTTTAAATGTTTCACTAGTGTATGCCCTTATTCTGTATTGACGTGGCGTTGCTGTGTTTTTACTAGCTGTACCTGGCTGTACTAGCTGGCTAACTAAAAAAAAAAAAAAACAGAAATAAAATAGAAAGCGCAAGTGTCTCATATGGGTAATTTCACAATCATTATCTGCGCAGATCGCTTGGTTTGCCGACTCTAGAACACGCAACATTAAATTTTATCCTCATATTAGTAGTTGCTCAAAGTGTATTATTTGGACTTTAAAATGGTTATTAGTTTATCACATGCTAAAGCGTTTTGTATTTTTTCAAGAGCTGAAAGTAAAGCCTACTTGTGTACTTCTAAAAACAAACCAGCATTTTCGAAAAAAAAAGTAGAAAATAGAGAGTGAGAGAGTGAGAGAGAGAGAGAGAAAGAGAGTGAGAGAGAGATAGAGAGATAGAGAGAGAGAGAGAGAGAGAGAGAGAGAGAGAGAAAGAGAGAGAGAGAGAGAGAATAGCTGAGGCAGCGTTATTGAAATATAAATAATAAAAAAATGAAAACTGCAAAATCTTGTTCGAAGCTATCTCAGTTAACATTTTCTGTCATCATCCTCCCCCTTCTCCCAATTAACCGACCACTCCTCTCTCCCTCCCCGAGGGATTAAAATTAACCATGCATTTGTTTTTAAAATTTACCTTGGCATTCGCGTCCACTCAGATTAAAATTGGTAGCAGGAATTGTAATTAGAAGTAAATGCAGCTAGTATACTATTTACCACATCACCCATTGAGTTTACACAACAATTAAAACAAAACTGTCACTGCTGCCTGTTTTACCATCTGTCTAGGTCAATGTAGACAGGGGTCGTGAACCAGAGAAGCCGCATGGCTATCGCTGTCGCGACGGACTGTTCAGGGTAGGATGTTTTATTGGGCCCCCGACACACACACAAAACTCAATCACCTTACTGGGGGGGGGGGGGGGGGGGGGGGGGGGGGGGGGGATCTCTCGAACCTGCATTACAGCCCGTCGTTGTAACCACCTGGCCAAACACAACAACAATGACTATTCTGTTTCTACTACCACAACTGCTGCTATGAGCAGATAAATCTTGTGGGCGAGGCGGTTACTGTGACTTCCCCGACATGGGCAGTAGTGATGTCATTGATGTTCAGTGACATGCATATCGCTAAGAAGATTGTGTCGAGGGTGATGGATACGAGAGTGCTGCCTTGAGCATCAAGGGCTAGAGTCTTCTGATTAATCACCACAGAACGGGCGTAATAAATGGTTTTTGCGCTTATGGAGCTTTCTAGGAACAGATCTGAGAACCTTTGGATCTGTCCGAAATGTTGTGATGATAGTCTCAACTAATCAGTAATAATTCCTTCCCATATCTTTTCATTCCCCTACAGTCTTTCAACAACTCTCTTTTTATTCCCACAATTAATAATTCCAACTTGTTTTTATTCTTTCATCTCATACAGCTGTATGCAAATTTTTGAGGTCAACAGTCAAAGTTTGGAAACGCCGCAACGAAAAAGAAATTGGATTGTCGGAAAACAAAACCAAGATGCCGATGTGATCGTCACTGGAACTATGTAGCTCGTGCTTTTTGCAACACTCTTCTATTAAAAAAACAAACACGTTGTGTCAAAATGTCAAAGCAATCAGTGAAGAACTTTCGGCATACACCTATATGCAGATGTCTGAGTTTAAAAGTCAAAGTTAGCCTCCCCCCCCCCCCCCCCCCCCCCCAAATATTTATTTAAAAAAACGCGCCGGAAAAGCGGCAACCACCCAAAAAAAAAAAAAAAAATCGGATCATTAAAAAAAAAAAAAAACAACCACGATATGCTGATGTGATTGTCGCTGGTGCAATGTTGTTCGTGCTGTGTGTGATACTCTTAACAAAAAAAAAAAAAAAAAACGTTGTAGTCAAATCCAACGTTGTGTTAACATTTGAAAGCAATCATAGGACAACTTTCGGAGATTAGCTATCACTATTAAACAGACATTTCCTCTGACGCTATCTGTGTGTGGTTTTCATATTTCATTAGCGTATATTCTTATTCTGTTTTGATGTGATTTGTCTATATAACTATAGTGTATCCTCTGACTATCTATGTGTGATTCTCTATGTTTCATTAATGTATGCCCTAATTCTGTCTTGGTGTGTGTTGTCTGTATTTATTTAGTGCATTGACTGATCCGATCTCGGTGAACGTTGCTTTCTGTGTCTCTGAAGTGTATGGATGTGAACGCGCGCGCGCGCGCGAGAGAGAGAGAGAGAGAGAGAAAGCTAGAAGTGTTGCTTTCCCTGTTTCTACAGTGTAGCCTCAGATATAGTATTAGAAAGTCTTTTTGTTTCTGTGGTACTGTTCCCGTTGTACCTCGTCTATCTTTAAATATTCCTTCACTAATCCTGTTTGTCATCTTTCTTTAAGTGCAAGTCAGGATTTATATTGACAAAATTGAAGAGACGATTTATTGTGATTATTAAACAGGTTTACTACCGTTGATCTGACCAATGTGGCAATGTCATGGCAACATATAAAAAAATGGTAAATAGACTTACATGACGTCATTGAGTGTATCTAGAGCCCGAGCACTCACATAGGCTGTTACAGGCAGGGCGGGTAGCCCTAGACAAGAAAAAAAACCATCTTTAAATATGTATGACTTCAAAGTGTATCAACACAAATAGTATAGTCACAACCGAGCAAAAAGGAATGCTACAATATAACATTAAATTACATTGGATATTTTTATGAAGATGAATTGTTGAAACTATATTGAACAGTTATAATGTCTGACTCTAGATTTCGTACACAGATTAGAAAACGAATCACTTTGGCATAGATATAATTTTGCAAAGTACAAAACATATTCAGCAATAAAAAAAAAAAAAGTCGTTTGCAGTGGGGAAAAATGGGGGGGGGGGGAGGGGGGGGGGGAGATCTGAGAGTATATGCTGTTTCCAGAAGTAAACCTAATGACTTAATAAAAATCGACACATTTGATGGGAAAAGAGCATGTCTCAAAAAGTATTTGTCAATATTAAAGGTTCTAGTGGTTTAGAAAATACAAACGAAATGGGAAGCATGGTTAGGGGAAAAAAACAGTTTATCTTCGACAAGTACATTGATGGATATATAATATAACAGGCAAGAGAATAATGCAGAATAAAACTGAGCAAGTATTCGGAGGCGTTTTAATGCAAAATTTACAGTCTGTGATTAAAAGATATCAAAGTAACTACAACAACAAAAATTAATAAAAATACAAATAAATACAATGATGCTACCTAGCTATTACTCAGGTAATACACTGACCTCAAGTAGCTGATCATACCTGCAAGATAATCTGGCTTGAGGGATTATTACACCGACCCAAAACTTGATAGTGCATTTATTCAAAAATTGTCAGATTGTAAAATTTTATAAAAGATTAAAAATATTTTGTAGGGGTCATAAATTGCCACTGTTTTTTTTACAATTTCAGTTCCCAGTATCTTCGAGATTTCTTTCCTCGGATTTGGAACAAATCTGATGAAACTGAGAGTGCATTTTAGGATAAGATGCCCTTCAGGCTGGGGGTATCTGAGGTCGCCAAATGGAATTAGACCTAAATAATTTAATCACATTTTCCGTTCAAATAATAAAAGGACAGCTTCAGGCAAACATCTATTTCAAACTCTCTTACATCATCAAATCACATATACGTCTTCTGTAACATCAAAGTCCTGCACAAAACACAAAACATGCATCATCATACATCACACACGCACACAAGCGTGCACTCACATCATACACAAATTAAAAAAATGAAGGAAACGATGTTCTTGTGACATACACATCTAAAGAAGGAAATGATGTTCTTGTGACATACACATCTAAAGAAGGAAATGATATTCTTGTGACATACACATCTAAAGAAGGAAATGATGTTCTTGTGACATACACATCTAAAGAAGGAAATGATGTTCTTGTGACATACACATCTAAAGAAGGAAATGATATTCTTGTGACATACACATCTAAAGAAGGACATGATGTTTTCTGAGAAGAATGACCACTGACCTGATTAAAGTGACCTCTGTGTCAACTAGATGCATAGAGGCGTCTCTAAACCCCAGCACACAAATGGATGACAGATGACAAGAGAACACGTAGACATGAATGGGATCTATTGATGATCTACAAAGTACAATACGGGGGTCTGAGCGAGACACTGCTCAATACGAACATGGCTTTGCTAAAAGACGTCGGCTAAATTAGTTTTTTATGTAGACCAGGCGAGCTGACAGTGTTATAAATCTGATCCTTATGTCCAGTGCTGATAGTTCTTTAAAAAGATGGAATGTGCTGGAACGCAAGAAAGGGATCATTTGCGATTGGATGCTCACATGAATACACCATAGAGAAAAATCACAACTGAAAGCAGGAAAAATGTCTATGTCGGACATGCAACTCAAAGTGTCCTATATGTGAGCCACTTGCATAACGTATGTGTGTTTGCTCGTGCGCACGTGTGTGTATGGTTGTACGTGTGTTTATGGGTACATGGTTCGTTTATTGTGAATTATCTTGACCATTGTGAGTTTTTCCTGAATTCCTGTTTTTACTTGGCTTCCTCTTTGAACGTTTATGTTGTCAAGAATGATTAAGATTCTGCTTCCTGCTCTTCTAGCCACCTCGACCACATGCACACCGTGATGTTGTAAAGTTTGTATGAAAATATCCTTCTAAATTGTTCTTAGTCTACCTGGTGTGCTACATCCTTATCCTCTGTCAGTGTATGCCTTGTTTGATGGGTCAAGTGCCGGATTGAGTCTTTATAAGATCCTTAGTTATGTAACTTTTAGGAGAAAAAGACATTGCCACTAAATTTATAGGAGAACTCAAGAAAAGATTTCAAACCCTATCAAGTGACCCAGAAACTCCAACTACAATAAGCATTCAAGACAGATGGAACCAGATCAAAGAAACATACAAATCAACTAGCAATAAAATATTAGGAACCAGGAAACAACACCACAAATAATGGATAAGTAGTCAAACCATGGACTATATTGCCAAGCGAAAAAGAATAAAGAGCCTCATAAATCACACTAAATCAGAACGTCAGAAAGACAAACTAATGTTAGAATATAGCGAACTAAATAAAATGACCAAGAAAAGTGCCAGAGCTGACAAGAGAAGATTTTTGGAAAACCTTGCAGAAACAGCAGAAAATGCTGCTAAAGCACATGATCTACAAACCCTACACAAAATTACCTAGCAAATTTGCGGAAACAGAAATAACTATCACAGCATACTCATCAGAGATAACCAAGGCAGACTGCTCACCACAGAACAAAAACAAGACATGCAGTGGACAAAACACTTCTCTGACCTCTTGAACAGACCTGATCCTGAAAATACCCCAGAAATTCAACCAGCCTCTCAGGACATTGACATTATTACTGAACCACCAAGCAAACAAGAAATTCTTAATGCTATCCACACTTTAAAGAACAACAAAGCACCAGGCAAAGACGAATTGTCAGCAGAACTTCTCAAAGTAGATCCCAACACAACTGCTAGCATTCTAGAACCATTGTTCAAAGATATTTGGAAAAAAGAAGTGTTGCCTGATGACTGGACTGAAGGAACAATAGTCAAAATCCCCCAAAAAGGAGACTTAACAGACCGCAATAATTGGAGGGGAATTACTCTACTCTCAGTACCAAGCAAAATATTTTGTAAAATCATCAAAATGCGGCTTGAAAAAGGAGTAGATAAATGCCTACGAGTGGAACAAGCAGGATTCAGAAAGGGCAGAGGAACAACTGAGCACATCTTCGCCATACGGAACATTTTAGAACAATGCAACGAATGGCAGAGAAGTATATATATTAATTTTGTGGACTTTGAGAAAGCTTTTGACAGCGTCCATAGAGACGGTCTGTGGAAAATTTTACGACATTATGGAATTCCAGAAAACATAGTCAACATAATTGCTCTCTTCTATAAAGACTTTTCCTGCAGTATAAAAAATTACAATACATCTTTTCCAGTAAAGACGGGTGTAAGACAGGAATGTGTTATGTCATCTCTCCTCTTCAACCTTGTGATTGATTGGATACTAAAGAACACAGTAGACAGGACATTAAGAGGCATATGATGGACTCCATTCACCATGCTTGAGGACCTTGATTTTGCAGATGATATAGCACTCCTATCACATAAACATAAACATATACAAGAGAAAAGTAACAGACTAAACTGCACAGCAGAAATAGTGGGACTGAGAATAAATACAAAGAAAACTAAGATCATGACAAACAGTCCAAACCAACAACCAGTGACCATAAGTAACCAATCACTTGAAAATGTAGAACATTTCACATATCTTGGCAGTGTGGTGTCCCTACTGGGAGGGACAGAGGAAGACATACAGTCACGTCTGAACAAAGCTAGAGCTGCTTTTGGAAGGATGAGGCAAATCTAGAAATCCAACAGTTACTGCAGAGGAACGAAACTCCGACTCTACAAGAGCATCATTTTGCCAGTTCTTCTCTATGGAGCGGAATGCTGGAGAATGACCAAAAAGGATGTACACAAGCTGTCCACCTTCCACCACACATGTCTACGTAGAATTATCAAAAGTTTCTGGCCAGATACAATCTCAAACACTAAACTACTTCAAACCACAAACCAAGAAACTTTAGACAGTATGATTACCAAGAGAAGATGGAAATGGCTTGGCCATATTATGAGAATGACTTCTGATATACCTGCCAAAACAGCTCTCACATGGATACCGGAGGGAAAGAGAAAACAGGGGCGCCCAAAAACAACATGGAGACGAACGATGGAAAGTGACCTGAGTGCGGCATCTTTGACATGGAAAACTGCATTGAAGATTGCACAGGACAGGAAAGCATGGAAAGTCCTCTCTGAAGCCTCATGTGCCACTAGGCATAACGAGAACTGATGATGATAAGTTATGTAAGGCGCTGAGACCATTCCCGTTGTCAATGACAGCAGCTATTCTTAGAAAACCTGCAAATATACACCTAAATCTTGTTGGCTCTTCTGATATCAAAGCACCATCTCCCTGGGACTGAGTCGCAAAGTTCTCTTTGTAGCGAGCAAGCGAGCTCACCGCCACCAGGACCACACAACGAGCGATAAATATCCAGTGACGCAAAATGACACCATTCGGATGAGGATTATCGGGGCACTAGTCCAAAAACCCTGTTGAATCGTTAGATTATATTACGGCCCCGACAACAGCAGAATGAGGCTTTAAAATAACAAAACAACTGCGTCCTATATTGGGGCGATTTAGGTCATTAATGGTTTTCTTTGTAATCTGCAAAAGTCCAGTTAACTAGATAGAGACCAGTACTGGAAACTAATAACTGTGGCGAGAAACCAGTACTGGAAACTCATAACTGTGGCGAGAAACCAGTACTGGAAACTCATAACTGTGGCGAGAAACCAGTACTGGAAACTCATAACTGTGGTGAGAAACCAGTACTGGAAACTCATAACTGTGGCTAGAAACCAGTACTGGAAACTCATAACTGTGGCGAGAAACCAGTGCTGGAAACTCATAACTGTGGCGAGAAACCAGTACTGGAAACTCATAACTGTGGCGAGAAACCAGTACTGGAAACTCATAACTGTGGCGACGGCTCAGCAGAATAAATGTATCGGCTCGAATTAGGCCTATTTTCATTGACAAAGACCTCCAAGCCAATACAAAAAGTAAAAATACAACATATACACACGAACGCCCACACAGACGCCCGCGCGCGTGTGCGCGCACACACACACGCTCGGGCATCAAAATAGCAACGATGTAAATGAGCAACCAACAGAGAAAATGACAGTTAAAAGATAGAAATAAATAAATAAACGGACGAATGAATCAAGAGCTAATATTCTCATTACGGATGCACAAGCTACATTTTATAGTAACATTATGAATTGGGTGGGGTGGGGAGGGGTGGGGCGGGAGGCGGGGGGGGGGGGAGTTTAGTGTGTTCTGAAAAAAAAAAATATCAAGCAGAAAAATAAAATATTCAGGCCACAGGCATATTAAAAGAAGAAGAAAAAATAGAACTCCACACAATCCCGGCAAATTTAAAAAAAAAAAAAAATTAACTTCATTTAAGGTGAGTATAGGGACCTTTCTTCCTAGGGGATAAGAAGGCTTGCATAACTTCTTATTTCCATTTCTTCTTTTGTCCTACTCTGTATGCGGTATAGCGAGGCAGAGAGAAGATAGTTGTAGTATCCTATCGGAAAACAAACAGCCAACCATCATTGCGAAGACGGTACCTGATCATATATATACATATATGTATATACATATATATATATATATATGTATATATATACACACGTGTGTATGTTTGTGTATGTTGTTCGCTACCCTCTTTCATTAGGCTTTTTAATCACAGTTCAGTGGATTAATTAGTGTAACTGCAATCCCTCATGTTTCCCTTTATATATATATATATATATATATATATATATATATATATATATATATATATAATATATATATATATATATATATATATATATATATATATATAGCGAAATAGTGAATTATTTCTAAATCTGGACCACAACACACACACACACACACACACACACACACACACAAATGCTCACAGTGAACACATCACATCAGAACGAAGAGACTGAAACGAAACAGATTTTCAATATTTACCTTGAACAATTATTGAACAACAACGGCGATTGCACACAAACCAACACAAAACAAAAAATTATAAAAACACTTGTTTTTTTGCATGACATCTGCAAGCTAGGTAAAGTAAAAATTTCGACACTGGCAATTTTTGGATGTAAGTCATAGGTACTCACTTGGTCTTTTGAATTGACATGCTACAAAAAACAATCTTAGAATATTATGGTTCATAAAGATGAAAAACGTCGACATCTTGTATGATCCGAGCATCAAAAAAAGTTTACTCGCAAACAGCATCCTCTGACGAAAGGCGAGGTATTTTGGCCAAGTCAAACGCCATGATGGTCTGGAGAGAAAGGTGAGGTATTGTGGCCAAGTCAAACGCCATGATGGTCTGGAGAGAACGGTGAGGTCTTTTGGCCAAGTCAAACGCCATGATGGTCTGGAGAGAACGGTGAGGTCTTTTGGCCAAGTCAAACCCCATGATGGTCTGGAGAGAACGGTGAGGTCTTTTGGCCAAGTCAAACCCCATGATGGTCTGGAGAGAACGGTGAGGTATTGTGGCCAAGTCAAACGCCATGATGGTCTGGAGAGAACGGTGATAGAGGGTGCAGTTTCTAGAAAATGAGCAGAGCACTTAGGCGAATGTGGATGCAGGTCATTGAAGATGAATCAGCTATGCTAGTACACAGGGCTTGAGAACTCGCTAGAGAAAGAGAGGCGTGACGCGAAGAGAGTGGCCTCTGTAAGGGACCCGCTGATGAATGTATGCAGCAGTATTAGGCATTGTTTTGGGCGAGTATTAAACGTTCAGGCTTTGGGAGGGGTTTGTGGATCCTACTCCAACAAGGTGAAGCGCCCAGTTGATTTTTTCCTCAAGACAGCGGTCATCTGATAGGCTGAGGTCAATGTTGGCTCAGGGGCTACGATTTCTAGAAGCACGCCGTTATTTCAGACTCGGGGCTTCCCCTATATCAGAGTAAAGGAATACTGTTGTTGAGTGGTGAGGGTGGACCTCTCTTACCAACGCCACTGTTTCGTTTGGAAATTATCGGCTACAGAGTGAATTGTCTACAAGGTTTAGGTTGCGTCTGGCTCTACAGCCAGTAGAGTTGAGATCGGCTAGCCGCTCTTTCTGCGTAGACGGTAAGCGAAAATCAGTAGCCTGATGATGTCCCGTAGACTGCAAAAGTCAACCCCCACCTCCAAGTGGTGTTGATGGGAAACTATGGCCGCGAGGCCTTGAGACAATGGGGTGCTAGCTCGCTTAGGTGCATGGACTCACCTAGGTCATTTGCTCCCCCCCCCCCCCCCCCCCCCCCCCGGGGGGGGGGGGGGGTCAACCTTAATATTCGACTGGCCAAGCAAGCAGGCAGAAAATGAATTTCACCCCTCGATGAAACAGAACAAAGTATACAAGAACAAGGCAAAGGCACCTGGCACCAATATCGCTGCACCTCGATAGGTAGCAAAGGATCAAGATGACATTAGAATAAATAGTGGAAGCAAGATATGACTGAAGTCCTTTAAAATCAGTGGAAAGCCTTTCTTCAAAATTATATCTGTTGTGTGCTATTTCCTCAAATTACTAACTGACGTGGTTTACTCACGTTTACTCAGCTTGCCTTGGAATCGCAATGTTCAGCTAGTCCTGACAAAACAACAACGTATATCACATATGCATACCTTTAGATTGTACTTTAGTTTGTGCAAATGGCAATCGACCTTCCCAACTTTGGTTCGAGACAATGACAGAGTGTAACTGTGCGAATGTGTGCAACATAACGTGGAGCAGCAGAATAAGAAAGATGGACTGTGTGATTAAGTTACTGAAGAAACAAAGCAAACAATGACATTGTGTTGATATCTGAAGCAATGCTTACGGTTCTAATTCTTGTACGTACGGTTGAAAAGTGAGCAAAAACAGTCACTCAGATTTTTAAAGATCGAAAAATAAGCAGAATATAAAGACGGTCTGATGAACAAACAGGCACGTTTAGCAAACAGGTGGGTAGATGAGAGGTTTGGAAGAAAAGTTTGTAGGGTTGGCGGTTAGATAAAGTATGAATCGATAGTTAGATTATTACCCCATCCTACAGCACTGCACACAAGCAGAAGTCTTCTTTGTTTAGAAAACGCATGGACAACAATTGTGTGCAGAAAAAATCCCTCACAAAACATCCAGAAGTAGTTACTGACCGAAGCATACTGGGTTAGTATGTGAATGAGCTTGCACCACATCTAAAAAATAAAATGGATAAAAATATATTTCATTATGCAGTGACTCCGTATTCTGAGTAGTAATATGTTAATATACTGAATAAAATAAACAGAAGGATTTAAACATATATGGTCAATGTTCACATCCCATTGGAATACCCGTAGGTTCAGAAAGATGTATCACATTTGGGTCAAAATATTGAACATTTAGGTACCTTTATGCCCCCCCCCCCCCCACCACCCAAACAATTTAAGAAAATTTGCAAAGGAGACAAGTGCCCCCCCCCTCCCCCCCCCCAACATGAATAGAAGTTATTTCTTTACGTCACAGATTTCAAATTTTCAAATAAAAAATTATGGTGTTTTGTCATTCAGCAAATCATTATTGAGCTCCTCTGCGAGCTGTTGTGCTCCTATAAAATGGTTAGGATGCTGAGCCTTCTGTGTGGCGGCGCCCCTGGTTAATAAGTCAACTATATGTTACCAGTGCCAGATCTTGACCCTGGCAAATACTCACCAGAGAAATACTGAAACATGTGACCTGGACAATTGTTGTGTCACATTATTGTATGGTGACCATTATCTGTCCATGTTTTGTTCCTTTATTTGTTACACACTTTTTAAAACAGTCACACAGGTAAAGAAAATGAACATGGGAACATTATATTTAATGCTTTCAAAGGGCTTCAACAAGTGAACAAAACACCATACACAACATTTACGTAATCCACCGAGTATGCATAGAAGCCTTTGTTGAACAGAATCATACAAATGCCGCATGACGGTTTCTTCTTTTCTCTCCTCCCAGAATGCCTCGCAGTGTCAGGGCATGAAGAGCTATCTGGAACTGGCCCTTCATTTCGCTTCACACTTAGTATTGTTCAGTGTATTTCTGCAGTCCATATTTTGTAGGGTCGACCTCTAGGGTCCTATTACCACTGTGTGCATATCACATTGCTCTCTTTGGTGCCATGTATGTTTTGCTACGTGGCCAAACCCTTTGATTTGTTGTTTACCGATACATTTCATTACTGGTTCTGTGTCGACTGTCCTCCTTATATCGTTTATTCCGAAGATATTTTTTTTCCTCATGCTTGCATTTCAACATTTAATCCATTTGTCCTATATACTTGATTAGCCTTATTACTTATGTGTTGTACTTCTCTCTTCATTCTTCCGTTTCCCGAAAAAGAAGAAAATTGCTCCCTCGATATGTAACATTTATTGTTGTTTGTCTACAGAAATCTTTTCCGCCCACTCAATATGCATATTAGGAAAATTTAGAATGCAATATTCATGGCATGCAAAGCAATCTACAACGGATATCCAGAACTGCCTTTTCTCAATAAAGGTACATTTTATTGTCCATCTCTCGATGTCTCTCCACATACATTATTTTCTGTTGATTGCACATTTGATAACCACCGCTCCCACCATTACGATGTTCATCAAAGTATTATGTCACGTTATGGGCCAGATATATTTCATTTGCTCAATGTGCATATTAAATACTGTGCTATACATGGGCTGTTGTCATGTTCCGTCATATTTTCCGATGCGTGTGATGTTATTTTTTTGCCTTGTAATCTATGCAGTAAAAGCAAGTGATATATTGATGCTACTTACGTATTTGAGTTTAAATCAGAAATGAACACACGAATGTCTGGCAAGTTTAATCTGATCTGGGTTTTACTGGATTCTTTAAGTCGTATGAAAAAGCATATTTAATATTTATTGGAAATAGTTGACTTCTAGTTGAACCAAGAATGAATAATTTGTATTGGTGGGTCTCTGGTTTAGCTAAAGGCACTAGTCAATAACCAAAATTTACCAGAAATGAAAATTGCTCATCTTAACTAATTATGGTGTGCTCAAAACGAAAATGGCATTAAAAATGTTGATTGCTC